TAATAATAGTAATAATAATAATAATAATAAATAGCATTTGTATAGATCTAGCGCATTATTATGTCCGATCAGCAGGAAACCAAAATCACAAATGTTTGAATAACAATGCGCCATCATTATTATTTATCAACTCTGTTGAGACCGTATTCTCCAACTCGCAGTTTAACGCTAACAAAAAGATTTTAAATCCTTTGATTAATCCAAATGTCAGCTGAAGTCATTACTGTTTCTAAAATGATAAGATGATTATTTAGAGAGATTTTCTTTTGGTGAGAACCGAACGTTTTATGTAACTGTCGTATTGTATGGTAAAGAGCTTGGATTTTATGTTCTTAATAAATAGGGGTTGAGCGCTATCTAAATGTCAGCTATTATTATTATCACACACAAATTAGAAACTCAAACCTGCATATTTCATAGTCTGTATGTTATTTATCTCTACCTTTCTCACCCTGCACCAGAATATAGGGCACGAACAAGCACTTTCCACCTTTCTCTATCTTGGGCTAGCCTCTTGATAATAGTATTATTCCTTGCCTTCCCACTTGTCGGTACATCGTTCTCTGTGACTCTTCTCCAGGTTCCACATGGTCTTCTTCTTTGCATGTTGCTGCCTGTCGTGCAAAGTTTCGGATACTGAAAACAAAATTGAAAAATAATATTTGTGAAAGTATAACGAAGTTTGCTTTTTTCTTTTAAGTGCCTTAAAATATGGAACGCTCAATGAGCTACTGGGTAATTGCCAATAATATAGGCATAACGTAGACTGTTAAGTGGCGTTTGTTGCAGAGGACATTACTTCGTATATCAAAAACTCTTAATAAGACGCTAGACACCGCGCTCTTTGTGTAAGAGTGCCCTTGAATCGGCTAGCATAAATTGCGTGGAAACAAGGTAGCTTATCATCTTTTCTTTCTTTATCTCGAACAAGCAGTCTTGCGATTTTCGAAAAGTTTCAACAAGGACCATTGGGTGCAGATATTGTAACACAGTTTATTGAAAATAAGCGCGGATAAAGGCTCGGGGTGGATAAGTGAGGGTGACAGTTTCGTTGATCACTGACATAACTTTAAATATTTATTATTGGTCAGCAAGGAGATGTATAGATCTACATTTTAAAAACCTGGCGATATTGCTGTGAAAAACATTTGGGATATGAGTTACTAGCAACCGTAATATACTGGAGATCAAAAGAAAGGTACCACTTTTTGATCATGTATAAAATCTAATCTTTCAGGTCTTTACGCTTTCTATTTTACGTGAGTTGTGCGTAAGTACTGTGAAAAGTAGGTCGTCCGTGATATTAAAACATATCGGTGCCTCATTTTAGTGTTCGCAACACCCACGTGAAAAAA